TAGTCATCTCGTGTATGATGCCATGTTTCCGAGTGAAGGCGGCCCAGATTGAGTTGTCGAACTCGTGCCCATTATCGGTGCGTATGCGTCGAATTTTCTTGCCAGTCTGCAACTCGGCCATCGTTTTGAAGTTGCTGAATGAGTCTAGCGTCTCCTCTGCCTCTTTGGTTCGCAAGAGGTTGAGTGCTTCGAACGAAGACTTCCCGTCATGAAGCGTCATGCCGTGGTGGGCGCCGCCGAGCGATGGTTCACGAGCGCGTCCGGTTAAGTCGATGTAGATGCGCTCGCAGACGTCCTCCTCGATACTGGACGACGTGAAGGGGAGACGAGGGTGCTTCCCTTTAATGCAATCCTCGCACTTCCCGAGTGGCATCCCTCCGACGATCTCCATCCCCTCCACTGCACCGGATTTAGCCATCTCCAACACTGTCCGTTCGCTGGCGTGTCCGAAGTGGCGATGCCAAGTGTGTACGTCGGTGGCTCTGGCGTTCGTCAAGGATGCCAGGGCACTCGACTCTCCTGGCGCGACAGTAGCAATGTTCGGTATGGACTGACCGTCGACTCGGGTTAAGACGACCTCGTACAGGTTGCTGGGGGTCACCCTGCCAACGAGGATAGGGTCTCCTCCTCCCTGACCAGCGATACGCATCTCTCCGGCCTTGATCACGATGTCGCAGCCACTACCGTCGATCCGGGATACGGATATAAGGTTCGCAGCGAGGTCTGGTACATGGAGTGCGTTGCGGAAGGTGACCACAGACCTCCGCCCGTTGATCGTCATCTCGGCGTGCACGCATCCGACCCCGATGATGGTGAAGTCCGCGCCTCGTTTGGCACTGCTCCCAGAGTGCGGGGTTAGCGGCATGTACTCCGAAAAGCTTGCACGGTCCGTGAAGTAGTGGTGACTTGCGCCTGAATCGAGGTACGCTCGGATGATTCCGTCGGTCGACGTATTCTGCACCAGCGTCGCACTTGCCATGAAGACGTTGTAATTCGGAGCGACGGCGGAAGTGGATGAAGACGACGCGGCGTTCGCGGTAGCTGCAGCGTTCGGTGCCATTGGGTGAGCTAAGTCAGCCGGTGAGCCCTTCTTTGGTCTCGGCTGCGACTTCCAGTTGGCCGGTTGTTGTCCTGCCATACCTCCTCCCTCGCAGAAGCAACACTCCTTCGAGTGACCTTTCCACAGGCACCAGTCGCAGATGAGCTGCGCCTTAGCCGCTGTCATGAACGCCGAGGTATGCTGTTCGCCCGGTACCGCCGTCTGCGTGACTCCGAGTGGGTTCTGCGGCTGCCCCGTACGCAGCATCTTGTTGTCGTGTACAGCGAGGATCGTCAGGATGACGTCCTCTGGATCCGACTTCGTGAGTAGTCCTGCAGTTATGTGGTTGTAGACGTCTCCCATGGACTGGCAGATGATTATAGCGAATCGATGGTCGGTGAGGGGTGACGCCATCCCGTTGCACGCCTTGCGACGACGGCGTAGTTCTTCGAAATGGGCATGGATGTCTGAGCCAGGGACGTACTTGCACTTCTTCAAATACTCCTCGGCATTCATAACCGCCAGCTCGCTTCGCCTCTCCTTTATCGCCAGTAGTGCCGTCCAGAACTCGTACGCCGTAAGACCGAAGGGCTCGACTCCACAGATCGAAAGATCCATGTTGAGCGTGCATGTTGCCTTCGCGTGCAGGTCATTCTTGTTCCATTTGGCAAGCTCGGTCACTTCGGCTGGAGTGGGCGTGGCGCCATCAGGTGTAGGTGCGGTCGTCTTTCCGAGCAGATGGCCTAGCTTCCCCTGGAGTTCGACAATGGTAAGGATCTTGCTCTTCCATTGCACCCAATTTGTGCGATTCAGGTGAAAGTTCTCAGGAAGAATGATGACTTTGTCCTTGTCGTCCGACATCGTGGGTATATGCGTTTTCGTTGACTATATGCGCGTGAAAACGGTGGTTTTGCCGTGGAAACGTCGAAAGCGGGTGGTTGTGCCCTTAAAGTGTTGTCGGTTTGTACGAGGAAGCGGTCAGGAAGTCGAGACGGGGCTCATAACCTGTTAAAGTTACAAGGTCTCAGTCGTGTCCTCGTGGTACTCGACTCCATTGCTACTGTACCTGTTAAAGTTACAAGGTCTAATACTACAGTATCAGCATCTTCTGGCTAGAAATACAACAGAGAGAAAGCTTACCTCAGTCGCGTCCTCGTGGTACTCGACTGAGGTAGCTAGTGTCTACGTGCGTCCGTTACAGTCCGTTCGTCCATCACGTGTCCGCGTCGTCACAAGCGCGCGCGTCACGGTCCCACTTCAACAGGGACCGTTGGCGTGCTCATGGAGCGCTTGAAGACGGACTCGGCCAGCTGGGCCTGAACTACAGGTGCAAGATTCGTATACGAGCCGTCCCGGTTCTTAAACTTCGTAGGCGCTGCTCCGAAGTTTCGGGTCGTCGGTGGTGCATAGGTCGCGTCCCGAACATTTGCGAAGGGATGGATCGGACTCTCCTTGTCGGGAACTGACTGCGCTGGCGGTGCCGAGGCTTGGACGCTCGGCCTAGACTCTGCAGGTGGCGTCGGAGCTCTCGGTGGCGGACCTGCACGCTCTACACTCTTCGAACGCGTGATTGGGGTCTCGATCGGTGCTGCTTGCTGACTCGACACAGGCGGCGAAGCGAAGCGTACGGTACGCTCCTTCGAAGAGCCTCGGGAGTCCGGAGCTCGTGACTTATCGGTGGGCAAGTTCGCAGGACGGGCCGTGGAACGCTGCGGCCTCTTGTCAATCATGACGCCGTCGAACACGTGCTTCTTCCGCTGCTCTTGGGCGTAGACCTCCGTGATATGTGACAGCTGGTCTCGCATACGTTCGAGGGTCTCGCCAATGTCTAAGGCGTACGTCGCAGTCGGTGGGGCCTCGATCGCTTCGTAGAGTAGCTGGGAGGTAGTCGAACCTTGGGTGGCACCGCCCGAACCGTTCGAAGTGTTCGCGTTAAGTCCGACTTTGCCGGTGCGGCGCGCGTACTCATAGATGGCGTCGCGGAGGGTCTCGCCCTCTCTCCTGCTCATGAATCGACCGTCGAACGACACGACCTTGCCGTCTGGGTTCCTCCGGCACAAGCCCTTCTTGGCGTCGTCTTCGAACATTTCGCAGTCGTTGATGCGACAGCCCGAACGACCGCAGTAGAAGCAGTGAGGGCCGTCTCTACCGCCTGGTGGCCGGGGGACCGACTCCTAAACTGCTGAGCCTCGAGAGTCTTGATCAGCGTCTGCAAGACTGGTAGGAGGTCTTCGTTTTAACGCCGGACGAATTAGATGGTGCGACGTTCGAAGGACCTGAGGGGACGTTCGAAGATTGGACTATGACTTGTTGAAACGTCGAAGCGGGGGTAGGGCCGTCTAGGACCCATTGAGCGGCGATGTAGATCTGCGCGAAGGTCCATGGCTTGCGTCTCGAGTGGTCGGGGTTCTTCATGAACAAGCGTTGTTCGATCGGTCCCCAAAGCGCTGGGGGAAAGCCTTGCTGGAACCTTCGATCTTGTTCGAGCGTCGAGAGGGAACCCTGAGCGATGAGGTACTCGGAGATCATGTAAAAATCACGATAATAAGCGGCGAGGTCGAGCGCGTTGCTCAGGCCAAGCCTCTGACGTTCCTGGACCACCTTGTCGAGGTCGTCTGTCGAATACTTGTGTTGGTCGTCGGCACCCGGGTAGAGTGTTCGAAGAGCTGTCTTAAACTCGTCGTACGTCTTCGTAGCATCCTTGTACGTCGGCTGCATCATCCACAGGTCCGAGACCCGTATCGGCGGGTACCGAACGGCCCATGACTTCTTGTCCGCATTGGTGGTGATCCCGCATCGCGTGAAGTGGGTCTCGAGGTCCTGGAAGAAACGGTTGAACGCGAAGGGCTCTGACTCATCAAAGACCAGCGCGGTTGAGTGACCGCGGGCAGGCATGGAAGCCGCCTTCGAAGCTTGTGCTGCTGCTTCGGACATGTTTGTATCGGTGTTCGGAGGGTTCGAAGGATTTGGTGGATCGTTCGAAGGGTTTTGGTTGTCGCTGGTCGAAGTCCTTCGCGGCTCGGACGACTCTGGTCCTGGAGGGGCTAACGACGCTCTGCGACGGGTGGGTAAAGGTAGACGTGAGGTGGTGGCTCCACTACGCGTCGTGATCGGCGTGGCTGAACTGAGGTCCTCTCCTTCGAGAGGTGGCGACGGTGTTAGGGACGGTAGAGGAGAGCCAAAGACTCGAGACTCTAGGTCGTCTGAGAGCGAAAGTCTCCGAGCACGTCCGGGATGAGATGGAGTAGTAGGTACTTGGTCTCGAACGGAGCGTTCCTGATCGTCGTGATCGGGGACAAGCTCGACGTGTTCGGACGAAGAGGGGATAGTCGAAGGTCCTGGTAGAGGGTTGCTATGCCTGCGAAAGGCGGCGGCGGATCCGGGACCTAGACAACTGTCGATAGCGAGTGCGAGAAGAGGACTTTCGTAGTCTCGGTAGTCTTCAGGGTTGACGTCGAAGTTCCGACGCGGCGGAATCTTGCTCTATATCCCCCTCGCGGTGGGCTCCAAGATGACGCGACCGAAAAGAACACAAAAGCCACACAAAAACCCAACCGTGAGGTCGAGCAGTGGTATGTGAGGCCTCTGAGTCTATGAGATGTACGGGGGACTGTACAGTGGTCTAGGTAAGAAGGAGGAGGACGGACAAGACTCCGAACGACGTGGGAGAGCTTCGAAGATGTCGAAGACTGTTCGAAGGCGAGGGCTAAGCCTCGAGGGTAGGAAGGAGGGTTTCGACAGACGTGTCGAACGAATGGTAACAAGGAAGGCGAGCGACGGCAGGAGAAGAAGTGTAGAGCCTCTCGGGCAACTACGAGCTGGCGAACGTACTGACGAACATCAGGAAAAACAGGCTTTGCTTGTCAAGCCATAAAAGACTATTATTGTTTTGGGAACCCCTGTTTGCTTGGCAAGACAAGTCCCGGCGGAATGCTGCTTGGGTTAAACCTCCATAGCTTGGCTAAGCATTATAATATGTTACATTGCCCATGTGCTTGAGGACCCCAAACAGCTTGTCTGACCATTCAAGCATGACTCGTCTTGTGGCATATCATAGTAGCATCAGGACTTGGCCAAGACGTGTAAGGGTTACATTGCTTTCCCAACAATTCGTGCACAATTGGCAAATTGTACATTTGATTACAAATCACACATAGCATTCTTGGCACGTACACAGATGATGATCGCACGGTATATAATACATGTGACACGAGGGTATCCGACAACGAGAGATAGGAGACTAGATACGCATGTAGCAAACCGAACTTGTGGCAGATGTTACGCGTCAGGATTGCGATAGAGTAAGTCTGTGGGACATCAGTCCGTTTGATAACGGGAGGTGCCTTGAGGACTTACCTTGGTCGTTGTGCGCAATGGAGGTATATGTGCTGCCTTGCTCACTTTCCGGTCACGCTTGCTGGCAATGGCATTATTACTGGGGTAAAAAATATACATAGTGTTGCAACTCACGTTCGCCGGGACCGTCAACTGTGCCGCTGTTTCCGCCGTCAACAATGCCTGATAGTTGGTCATGAATGCCATTCAAATCTACAGCCATACCACATACCTCGCGTTCCGACGAAGACGCCTCGCCAGATGGCTGAGCGTTGACATCAATGACCTCAATGTCATCCCACGCTACAAACTCGTCGTCCGCCGTAGCCTCATCACCAATGCCTGATGTAGAAGCTGCCCTCTTGCCAGCCTCTTCTTCCTTGCAAATAAGTTCGCTGAGTTGATGATGTCAGCTGGCGGAGCAGGGAGACTACTGGCACTTACGATACCTGAGCCCAGACAAACTGCTTCAATGCTACATATGCCTTTGGTGCCTTGTCCTTCATCTCCCCGAGGACACCGATGATGTTCACCCACCTACAGAAACCCCAATCAGTAGTTCTGAAATGTCTATAGCATACTGCACTCACTTGGGTGCGTGGGATCCCGTGGCAACATCTGCTAATCCCATTTCAATCTGTAATTGTGTAGTGATATCAGTGTTCTATACACTATGCGCTTTGTATCCGAGTTGTAGGACTTACCACATTGCAGACCAGTGCCAGAAGGTTATCCAGTACCTCTGCGAACCTTCCTTGTGATTCTTTGATCACCGAGTCGCGTTGGCCGGCATAGAACCATTGCACTGCTATGAGCTGGAAGATTGCCTTGTGCTGGAAAGGTTGCTTGCGATTGACACGACTAGCCTATGTTACGTCAGCCCAATAACATTAGCATTGAGGGGATATACACTCACCTTCA